TATGACCAGGTGGAATTTATACCAGGAATGCAAGGCTGGTTCAGTAGGAAAACTATCAACATAATTAACCATATCAATAACAAAAACAACAGAAATTATATAATTATCTCAATTGCTGCAGAAAAAGTCTTTGACCAAATATAGTACCCATTCCTATTAAAACACCAGAGACCATGGGAATCAATAGAGCTTATCTTAAGATGATAAGTAATATTTATCTAAAACCATGAGCAAGCATTATCTGGATAAGCTAGAAGCTTTCCCAATAAAGTCAGGAGTGAAACAAGGATGCCCATTATCACCACTATTATTCAATATTGTACTAGAAATGCTAGCTATAGCAATAAGAGAAGAAAAAGAAATTGAAGTAATTAGAATAGGCAAAAAGGAAACAAAACTATCACTCTTTGCAGATGATATGATGATATACTTAGAGAATCAACTACAAAAACTACTTGAAGCAATTAACAACTTCAGCACATAGATCATCAGCATTTCTATATATTACCAACAAAGCCCAGTAGCAAGAAATAAAAAGAGAAATTCCATTTAAAATAACTGTAGACAATATAAAATACTTGGGAGTTTACCTGCCAAGACAAACTCAGGAACTATATGAACACAATTACAAAACACTTTTCAAACAAATAAAGTCAGATCTAAACAATTCAAAAAATATTAATTGCTCATGGGTAGGCTAACCCAATATAATAAAAATGACAACTCTACCTAAATTAATCTATTTATTCAATACCATGCCAATCAAACTACCAAAAATATTTTATAGAGCTAGAACAAATAATAATAAAATTCGTTTGGAAGAACAAAAGGTCAAGGATATGAAGGGAGTCAATGAAAAAAATGTGAAGGAAGATGCTCTAACCATATCAAATCCCAAACTGTATTATAAAGGGTGAATCATTAAAACTATCTCATACTGACTAAGAAATAGAGTGATGGATCAGTGGAATAGATTAGAATATAGTACATTGTAGTATATAACCACAGTAACCTAGTGTTTGATAAACCCAAAGATCCAAGCTTTTGGGACAAAAATTCATTATTTACAAAAACTTCTGAGAAAACTGGAAAACAATATGGCAGAAACTAGATATAGACCAAGATCTCATACTGGATATCAAGATAAGGTCAAAATGGGAATGTGATTTACACCCAGAGTGATACCATAAGCAAATTACAAGAGCATGGAATGCTTTACCTGTCAGATCTATAGTTAAGGAAAGAATTTAGAACTAAACAAGATATAGAGAGCTATACTACAAAATGTCAAATGGATAATTTTGATTATTAAAAAATTTTGCAAAACCAATGCAACCAAAATGAGAAGGAAAGCAGAACACTGGGGGAAAATTTTTACAGCAGGTATCTCAGATAAAGGCTTCATTCTCAAATGTATAGAGAATTGTGTCAAATTTACAAGAATACAAGTCGTTCCCTAGTTGATAAATAGGCTGTTTTCAGACAAAACAATCAAAGCTGTCTATGATCATATGAAAAATGCACTAAATCACTATTGCTAGAAATGCAAATTAAAACAACTCTGAGGTACTACTTCACACCTATCAGATTGGCTAATATGACAAAAAAGGAAAATGATAAATTTCGAAGGTATGTGGGAAAATTGAGACACTAATACACTGGAGTTGTGAACTGCTTCAACCATTATGTAGAGAAATTTGGAACTATGCCCAAAGGGCTATAAAACCACTTTGATCCAACAATACCACTGCTAGGTTTGTATCCTGAAGAGATTTTTTTAAAAAGCAAAAAGACCTATTTGAACAAAAATATTAATAGCAGCTCTTTTGTGGTGGCTAAGAATTAGAAATTGAGGGAATGCCCATCAATTGAGGAATGGCTGAACAAGTTGTGGTATGTGATTGGAATATTATTGAAAGGACAAGCAGGATGATTTCAGAAAAACCTGGAAACACTTACATGAACTGATACAAATTGAAGTGAGCAGAGCCAGGAGAACATTGTACACAGCAACAGCAATATGATACAATGAAGAACTGTGAATGACTCAGTTATTCTCAGCAATACAGTGATCCAAGACAATCCCAAAGGACTTATGAGGAAAAATGCTATATATCTCCAGAGAAAGAAATGATGTCTCTATACCAACTGAAGCATACTATTTTTCTCTTTCTTTCTTTCCTTCTTTTCTTGTTCTAGTCTCCTTGCACAAAATGACTAATATGGAAATGTTTTACATGATTGCACATGTATGACCTATATCAGATGGCTTACTGTGTCAGGGAGGGGATAGGGGAGGGAATAAGGGACAGAATTTGGAACTCAAAACTTTAAAAAAATAAAAGAATGTTAGAAATGTTTTTACATGTAATTGGGGAAAAAAATAATATATTTTTTTAAAGTCTCTCCAATTTGCCTCTTACTTTCCTTCTATTCCCTCAGCCATCACAGTCCAGACTCCTAGCTAGATCATTGCAGACATTCTGCATAATAAGTACTTGATTTAATTTGTTGACTTGTTAAAATACTGAATAATAAGAGCTGTGTAACTGGTCTATTCACTTCTGCTTTCTGTTTCTTCACATTCCATCTTCAATGTCACTGGAGGTTTAATCCTAAAAAACACACTGCTTTTGTCATATCCCTCCTCGATTTAAAAATTAGCAGTGTCTGTTGATTGCCTGCAGAATTGTCTAAACTCCTTGGCCAGCAGTCAAAGTTCAAGTCCCACCAACTTGAATTAGTCATTACATTAGTAAAAACCCAATTTCAGAAAAGCTCCAGCCATGCTTCACTTATCTCCTTCCTCTCTTTACATAGCTAGCATTTATATAGTGCTTTAAAGTTTGCAAGGTGCTTTACATATGCTATTTCATCAGAACCTCATAACCAACACGTAACTTAGGTGCTTTCATTATCCCCATTTTACAGATGAAGAAACTGAGGCTGAGGAAGTTAAATGACTTGCCCAGAGTCATATAACTAGTATACAAGCAAGTCAGGATTTGAAATCAGGTCATCTTATATCCAAATCCAGAACTCCAGCGATTACATGAATACGGTTTATAACAATCACTTTAGTACTTATCATCTTCAGCCTTTTATTGTTATTTAAGTGATTTATTTGTCTGTGTTCCAAGAAAATTATAATCCCTTCAAAGTGATACATAAATACATAGTTATATAGATATATTTATCCATCATAGTATTCATACATTATATAAATATTTGCTGAAATGAATTAAATTGAACTAAGTAAAGACTATCTTGTAGAATAGCCATATATTAGGTTACTGAAGAAGATTCTAGGAATTCACTGGTTCTCAGCTCAGTTAATCAATTAATCAAGTACTAGCTCTCAGTTGAATTGTTTCATTTCAGTTGCTAAGATATCTGAAGGAACTAGACCAATTGTTGCTTTTCCAATTATTAAAAACCAAACTTAATCTCTCCCCATGAAATAGTTTTTCCTTCTAACTTTCCTGTTGCTACTAATGGTGCCACCCTATCCAGACTCAAAATCCTAGTAATTTTTCACTTCTATTTCATCTTCCATATCCTGTCCATTGAAAAGTCCTATTAATTCTACCTCAAAGCATCTCTTGTTCCTAACCCCTCTTTTTAATTCCCACTACCACTATTCCATTTCAACACTTCATTTATTACTTGTCATGTAGATTTGCCTTTTACCTGGTCTGTCCCTTCAATCTATTCTATAAGCCATTGGCAAGTTAATCTTAATAAATCACAGCTTTGGTCACTCTCTTATTCAAATTTTTCATTGGCTCTTCATTAAATACCAAATCAGATAAACTCCTCAGCCTAGTATTCAAGTCTCTCCATGCTCGAGCCTCAATCTAATGCTCCAGCTTTACCTTCTACCATGTACCTAAACTTTCTTACTCCAGCTTTTGTTACTGCTATCTCCTTGCCTGAAATAGCCTCCACTATTTCCTGTCTCTGCCCATAATGTAACATCCATCTGTGCCTTTCATTCAAGAAATACTCATCTTCATATCTTTGTATATCTTCTTTGCATGGCTTCTTATTCTTATTCTTATTCTTATTCTTATTTGCATTGCTTCTAGTACTCTTAGCCGATCCAATTGTCCTATAGCTTGTTGGTTTGTGTGTGTGTGTGTGTGTCTGTTAATACTGTTGTTCTGCTCGTTTTAAAATATTGGTTAATTCTTTTTTTCTTTGGTATGTTATTGGGTTTGTTTCTTTTTTTAACGAGTCTGGTTCCCTTTGAGAACTCGCTTGGCCATTTTGATTGGAAAGCTCAAAACCATATTCTATACTACCCCATTCATGAAGCTTTCCCTCAATTTCCCATCAGGCTATCTTCTCTCTCTGCTCCAAATGGAACTTGTTTTGTAGTTCTCTTACAACATTTGTATTTTCTACCTTGCAGTATAGTTATTGATATTCTTATCTTATTAGATAATGAAGTTCCTTGGATATGGACCAGCACCAGTTGTCGAATTAATGAACAAATGTTAACTGGATCTCATTATCAATTGCTGATTTAAAACAACACAAACCTACATTCTAATTTGGACAAAACTAGCTTTAACTCCATATAATGGGCGATTACAATGGAAATCTAGAACAAAGTTCTGAATTAGAGCTTGACTGTTAGTTTTCTCAAAAACAAATTTGGTTGAATTTTGAGTTCAAGTAGGTTCCATTCAGTTTACTGAGCTTTCATGAAAATCAAGGCAAATATTCCCATGTTCATACTAATATACAGCAGCATAACATTCAACTTAAAAGTTAGGAGGCAAGGGGCTGTATCCTGTCACTTTCCATTCTGAGATAATCAACAAATGTGTTATTGGATGTATTGCAAATGTGAAAAAGTTAGATAAATATACTGTAACTTTCACTTAGTTTAGGAAAAAATCAATTGTAGTATGAATTCATATATATGTGATTACCAATTATCCAAAAAATTGTTTTGTAGTCAATAATAAGCTTGTCATTGAATTGTTTTACAGGGGTCTCCCAAGCCAAGCTTTTGAATATATAATGTATAATAAAGGAATTATGGGAGAAGACACATATCCTTATGAAGGAAAGGTATTCTTGATATCTAATCTAAAACAATATTGTTGGAATAGTTGTACTATATATAATTGATTCTCAATGGTGTTGCTGTTTTAAACAGGATGGCACTTGCAAATTCCAACCAACCAAAGCCATTGCTTTTGTCAAAGATGTGGTCAACATAACACTTGTGAGTACAAAAGGTCCCTGGGTAACAATACTGTGGGAGCAATATACAAAGAGGTTTCTATGACGAAATACCCTTTCACCAAAGCAGTTGTGCCAATTCTTTCATTGTATGGGAATTCACAGTGGAGGCAGGTAGGTGGCGCAGTGGTATAGCATTGAACTTAGAATTAGGAAGACCTGAGCTCAAATGCAGCCTGACACTTCATGTGTGAGCCTGGGCAAGTCATTTAACCTCTGCTTCAGTTTCCTCATCTGTAAAATGGAGATAGTAATAACATCTACCTTCCAGGGTTGTCATGAGAATCAAATGATAATTGTATCGTATATCACATTAATATTTATATTTATAATATTTCTGTTACATCTTAAAGTGCTACATAATTGCTAGCTATTATTATTATTATTAATTTGCTGTATTGAGGATATAGTAGGCATCAAATATTTTTGTTATAATAAAATTTTCTGATAGTGATATTTCTTATAATGACACATCAACCACCATGTTTGTAACATGGTGTAACTCCATATTTCCTTGTTGTTCCAAGCTCTATCTGGTATAAATATTAATTAACCAGCTAGTATGGATAAAGAGAAAAAATTCAAGCCAAAAAAATCCATTTTGGAGATGGCATTAATTCTGATTGGCTACTTAATTTGTTCATTTTACCTGGATACCTTGATGATACAAACTATAATCTGAATACCATATTACAATAGTATAAAAAGTCATCTGGTTAGGGAAAATCAGTAGAGCTCTGATCTCCTGGGCAAATCTGAGATGTCATCTTCCAGGTATAATTAGACTATAGAGTAGAAAACATTTGTTATGCATGGATAAATACTATATTTAATAAAAACAAAAGCTTTCTTGATTGGCATACTGGTAAAAAAAATGGAAGGTATTAGTCATAATTTGCAGTTAATTTTGCTTTCCCTTGCTTTTCTGGGAGTTGGTAGCAAATGATCTGCATGCAAATCCTGATTCTACTTCCACTTACTACACATGTGATCTTGGACAAGTCATTTAATCTTTCTGAGTCTCAGTTTCCTCATCCGTAAATGAAGTATTTGGAATAGTTTGGAGTCCCTAACCTGAAAGAGGGTCTGTGAACTTGGTTTTCGAAAAAATATTTTGATAATTTTATCAATATAATTTTTAAAATTTCTTTTGTTTCCTTTATAATCCTATGTATTTTATTTTATGCATTTATGCACACTGAGAAACAGTACACAGTCTTCATCAGACTGCCAAAGAGATCTATAATGTAAAAAAGGTTAAGGACCTATGGACTAGATAGTATCTAATGTCTGAAATGTTATGATGTCTGAGCCTATAACCTTTGAACCTCACAAGAGCCTTAAGGAAGCAGCAAGACAGAGCTCTGACTTTTTCCTCAAATAAAAGAAATAGTCGGCAACATCTTTATCTTAACCCCATTACACCTCTCTTCTGGTTAGCTTCAACATAGCTGCAAGTTACAATGATCAATTTGTATTAGAGAAGATCCAAATACTCCTTGTAAAGTGACAGATAATAACATATCTTTTATGGTCACTCTCACTTTGGATTGAGCTACAACATCCACTAATCTAAAGACAGATTTTGCGTAAGAGTCACACTTCCACTGTGTAACATTTTTTCATCATAGGAAAAATATGTATAATTCACTAAAAACAGCTACATATTTAGTTGATATAACTAAAGTACTAGTCCTTGGGACCAAAGCAAAAATAAACATGCCCCCTCGTGTCTGGGTGTGCTTATTTTCTCTTTTTTAAAAATGAGGAAAAGGCTATTCTTTTCCTTTGGGAATTTTCAGTTTGAGTTGTATTTTTTACCAGGTGTGTAAATCTAATAATAAAAGAGGAAAAGGAATGAGAAAGGCCAAAATAAAATGCATAATTCAGGGTATTATGTTCCCCCTCAGTATGATGAAGAAGCTATGACTGAAGCCGTGGCCCACCATAACCCTGTCAGTTTTGCTTTTGAAGTGACTGATGACTTTCTGAGCTACCGTGAAGGCATATATTCCAAGTAAGTTTTTCACTGCATAAAAGAACAAGAAAAACATTACCTAACAATAGTTTTCAGTAATCATTTAAAAATCTTGTTAAGTTTTGTTATGGATCTCTAAGAGTTGCCAATTCTGTGGCCAAAAATACCACTTAGATTGTAGGATCTGGGGCAGAAATAAAACTTAGAACTCAAAAATACAAAACAGTGATAAGAATTCTGTGACCACATTACCGGTTTGCTTGGCAATACTTTGTAGTCCCATAAAAGAGACCTAAGGATAGGAAAGAAGATAAAACCAAGTTATATGTTCAGTGAGCTAGTTCTAAATTCTAGAAATTCCACTGTACATGTAGCTATTTTAAAGAATAAATATTAATTTTTAAAAAAGAATAAATATAAATTTATAAAGTGAGTAATTAAGGAAATGTGAATCCCTTCACAAGCAGAAGAATTCTTGATGGCAGAATATAAGTTCCTTGAGGGCAGACACTTGTTTTTTTCTTTGTGTCCCCAATGCTTAGCATAGTGCATAGTATATAGAAGGCACCAAATGAAAAGTTTATTGCATTGTACTCACTTCAACAGAGGATCTTGACCCAGGGTTCCTTTTGAATAGCAAGCTCCCAGATATTTGAAGACTTTTAGTATGATAGTAATAATGATGTAGTTCTAACCTTTATAAACTTTTTCCTTTTATTTATTTTTCAGTCCCAAGTGTGATAAAAGTCCAGACAAAGTGAACCACGCAGTGCTTGCAGTTGGGTATGGAGAAGAAAATGGAATACCTTACTGGATTGTGAAAAACTCTTGGGGTACATCCTGGGGGAACAATGGGTAAGAAACTCTGGATTATCATTTAACTAAATTATCCATAGCTGATTAAAAGTCTTCAGGCTCCTGCCAGTTCCTGGTGCCTACATACAGTTAGCTCAGTTAGTACTTAGGACAAGAAGGGCCAACATCACAGATTCAATCCCCGAATAAATCATTTAACTTTGACCTGTTACATTGCCAAATACTACAAATAATTTTGAATCAGATGTCTTAAATATTTGCCATGGGGTGGAGAGGTGAGGGTTGCAAATCCATCACCTCAATGTGAATAACAAGTATATAGCCTGCTATTGGTGAGTAAATGCCATCATCTTTGTATCAACAAGGAAAGAAAGTATCAGTTTTTAAAAGTGCATTATATTGGGAAAAAATAAAATACTATTTTAAAAAAGGAGAAGGGGAAAAGGAAAAAAATGTATTATTAAGATTCTCAGTTATAGTTCTCAAGCAAACAAAAAAATTGGGTTTATTAATGATGGCTTATATGCATATAATACCTCTAATTTTTCACAGTGGCTTCCCATCTATCATTTCTTTATAATAATATCTGGGAAGTTGGCAGGGTGTACAGTATTGTGGCTATTTTATAGATGTGGAAATGAAGCTCAGAAACATTTTCTGAATCCTAGCCCCTTTTTCATTGGGACTTGTCTCCTATAACATTGTTAGTGTAGCTACTTGTGTATTGGGATCATAATAGAAAGCTTTTTTTTCCTTTTTATTATAGTGCTATGATTTCTAGAGGTATTAAACCAATTATACATGGGGAAGTATGTGCTTTAATTTCCTAGTCAAATACTATGTTGAATTTCAGATACAATTTTCTGTGAGACTCGAGTAATTTTTCATTTCAGAACTACTTTTAAATTTATTCTCATAAAGAACTCAAAGCCTTTTCAGATACCTATTGACCAAAGTTAGCTCCATCCTTCTAAAGAAGGAGAGCATATATGCCTTGTACTTCAAATAAAATTACTATTGAATTATTAAGTAATAGATTTAAGTATTTTCACAATTGTTTGCATTTAGTGTTTAGAAGCCAGTTTGGTATAAAAGGTCTTGGTTTAATAAAGGACTGCAAACCTGATTTGATATCTGAGTAAAAGTGTCCCATAGTAGCTTGAAGCTCATACTCAATTTATTAAGTTATTTATATTGATGTGGCACCTTTATTCCTTCAAATCTTTGGTCAGTTAGTTTCAATCACAAAACAAATTACACCCAAAAAATTAACAGAGATTATTTAGTGATTTAGTAACTTCATAATTTCTTATTGGGAGAAGTATCATTTAAGAAAAGGGATTGTGAATAGATTCATCAGAAGGAAAAGTTACTTTTCTTGTTAAGGAAAAGAACTTAAACATTAAATGACTCATCCATAAATTACAAGGTGATTTTCTATTAGATACTATAATATTCAAAGCTAATACTTTCAATTAATGAAATTGAAGGACAAAAGTCCTTGAGGAAGATGCAAATATCTGATTTTGGGACATAGCAAAATGTGGCACTTAACTTGTGAGGTCAATAATGCACCAAAATG